GCCACATCCGCAGCTACTGAATAATTATATCTAACAAAGCCAAACCTGGTACGGGTAGCCTTCCTGGTTTTGTTAGGAATATAAACATCCTTCACTACTCCAAACTTGGAAAACAATGAAAACAAACCCTTAGGGCTCATAGACCATGGAAGATGGTCAACAAAGAGAGTTATCTGCTCTGCGGCTAGTCTGCTACTGCTACTCATGCGATGCCTCTGCTTCCCGTAGATCACTGGCACCCAGCCATCACCGCTCCTCACTCTCTCTTTCTCTTGCTCCATCTTTTTAATAATGTGGGACTTATGTAAGCATGAGAAGAATATTTAATACAAAAATTTTAAAAAAATAATACAAAATTGCAAAAATTCTTGAAAGATGAAAACCCCTCTGCCGTACAATATAGAAGCTAGAAAAGAAGAAAAAGGTTTTGATTTCTAAAAGTTAACTTCTTTGAAAAAAATTGAACACACACACCATGATCTTTTGGAAAAGGAGTGAATACATGCAAAATGATTTACCTCTTTTTGTTCTAATTTATGTATTACCACAAATGTGGGGAATAAGTAGAATTGTTTGCTAATCATGATTCATGACAAGTACAGAAACTCGAACAAAAAGTATTCAAATTCATGAGTTAGAATCTTAATTTGGAGGTACAAGTAATCTTTCTTAAATATGTTGCAACAATTTAGAAAATCGAATTATTTTTTGAATTGTTTGGTTCTTGGACAAAAACGTTATGAGGATATGAGATTTTGTCTAAGCATTAATTATGATTTGTGTAGTCATAATTATTCTACAGTTTCTATTTCATAAATTCTTTTTAGAATTTTGTTATTCAAGCGCACCATAATCAAAAAACAATGAATCTGTTATATTTTTTATTACATCATAATTGTGGGGATGTATTGATATTTTCATATGTTGATATCCTAATAAAGAAAATCAATTTTTCTTAGAATACTTAAAAGTATGAGGATGCTTGGAGAGGTTTATCCACAATGAATCTCAATTCTTTGATTAGGAAAAAATTAGAGTAGAAGCAAAAATGGCTTAGTTAACCTCTAAGGAACACCTTTATGTCTATAATTTGAATTCAGAAATGAGAGTCACATAAAATAGCGGTAAGTTTCGACTTATTCAAAGATTTAATATTGAAAGACATTTGCTCTTAGCTGTGAGTATTGTTTGATAACAATATAGTGAATCCATTAACTACTCAATTATATATAAAGAAGAAGGTCAAACGGAAAATAGCAGCTGCTAAACAAAATGTTTGACCAGAGATAAATGAGGGAAAGTTCATTGAGGGAAATGTGATTAAAGCCTATTAATTTCAAGTGGTTATAATGGCAATCCAACCTAGCTAACTGGAGATCGCAAGATCTAGATTCAAAGGGACAACCGAATTATAGATGACTTATTAAAAATCACTAAGAGAGTCTATCTTCTATCCATTCCTATGATGAGAGTGATATCTTCAACATGTGTTGTATGTAGGAGACTTAGGATAAGCTATGCTTTTAATGATTACTTATATCTTGGAAAATCCAGAGGGGTATATTTCAATAGGAGTATTTAAAATAATCGAAATAAAGATCACCTATATGAGAATTGATAAGGCTGAATTCTCTAAAGCACTCATGAAAATCAAGAATTGCCCAAGGCCAAAACAGGCACAATCGTAAGAACCAAGCTGTGTTTGAAGATATTCTGTGTGAATTCTATTGTCTTGGCTTACATAAACCGCTAAACAGTTCAAAGCATTATTTCTACTAGTGAGCTAGTAAGTCCAATAATCTTTCATTAAGGAAGATTCAAGATCAAAAGCTACCTATCATAATGCAGGATATTTCCAATTTGTACTCTCATTGTTAATGTCTATATTTCATTTGCGTTGTGTCATCAATTTCATTTACGTGAAGGATTGTTAAATTTTTTTAAAAGTGAATGTGAATTGACTCTATTTGAATGAAAATGTGCAACTCTTCATGGTGTCTCTTCATATAAAAGAGTGTGATCCAAGAGTCATGACCCTTTAGAATGGTCTCAATCACTTCTATAAATACGATGGCATTCATTTGTTAGGGAGTTTTGGGATTCATATATTATGTCTAATTGGTTATATAAGAGAGAGTGCATGACACAAATTGGTTCGTTGTTTAAACATGAAGTTGTGCAATTTTTGTTTGTGGTGATTTGTATCCTAAAGGCAGAATGCCTATTAATCGCAAGCAATAGAGATGATGATAAATTTTTATCTTAAGGACACGGTGTTCAAACATTGGTCTTGATCAGAATCTGTACTAAGTTTTATAGAATTTCTATAAAGAATTTCTTGTATTATATTTTGTTATTTATTTGCATTAAATTGATTTTTCAAAAATATTTTCCTACAAATTATACTTTTCACTCTTAAACTTTTAATTATAACAATTACGTAATTAAATTCTCAGACTTTAATTCAAGTTTTAATGGGTCCTCTCTTCCCTTATTGTTACAAAATGTTGAGAAAACATGCTTATATGAAGGCCACGTAAGCACATTTTGGGACATTAGAGGAAGAAATTTGTGTGAAAAATTACACTTTTCGCAATTTTTATTGAAATTTGATTTGGTCTCTCATTTTTTAACTTTTACTCAAATTTTAAATGATTGAATAACATGAAGACCACATTGAAATATGGATTGAAATGTGAAAGTAGAAGCAAAATTTATATAAAAGGGTAAAAAGTGTTCTTTACAATTTTTAAAATCATAAGAATAATGCTAAGCATGTTGATTGGACATGAAGGAACCAAAAGAAAACATATCATTCATTTAGAATGAAAATTTTGTATAAATTTTATGTTTATATAATATTAATCAACTAACAAATTTTATAAAATTTTCTTTTTAATTGATGTGACTCCTATTATATTATTAAAGTGGGTGTAACATTTCAATTTTTTATTATTGCATAGCACATTAGTTAGTAATTTTTTTATTTATTTAAATTTTGTTTATTTATATAGCACTTACTTCCCATTATAGAATTATTACAATTTCTTTTCTTTTCTTTTTTTCTTTGGGTAAAGTCAATAACAACAATTTCACACACACCAGGCTTGGTTTTTTTGGGTATTTGCAAACTATACCAAAGGTTAGTGTTAATTATCATAATTTGTGTGTTTCAAACTTCAAAACTTGAATAATTACCATACTTAATCTCTAATGGGGGTAAAATTCAGCTTTGCAAGCTTAGAAACATTCAGTATAGTGTGGTTGGTTATACATAGAGGAAAGGAAAGAAACTTTGGATAACAAGGTCAATTAATAATGATTGTTTAGGTGAGAATTAACATGCATTTTGATCATCTTTTGGTCTTTGCTTTCATAAAGATTTGATTATGTTTTAAACTTAATTTAAAAGCAATAAGGTCTTCTTAATTAGGAATGTCGGGCAATAGGCGACTCAACAAAGGAATGAAAAATCATAAGAATAACTTTTTTGTTGGCGAAATTAAGGGTTAAATAGCACCCGAGATTCAGCATCTCAAGTTGTCTTCAGAGAGGCCCACTTCCATTCCAAAGAGGATCTGTGAAATCTTATCTTTCTCACTTTTGCAAGTTTTTGTTCATGTATCGTTTTACAAAGAAAACGATATTTCTCATAAGGTAAATCATTTTTTTTCTTTCTTTTCTTCATATGTGACTTCACATAACATACATGTGGGAGTGGGATCCATAATATTTAGAAAATAAGGGGCAAATTACATTGTTTGTCCTTGGATTTTAGCCCTCGTGTCATTTTTATGGCAAATATGTACAAACGGCATATGTCATACTTTTAAGAATAAAATCAATTCAATGACTTAGTCTCAACTAATTTAGAAATAATTTCTATCAAAAAATTCTAACGGCGCAAATTCTAAAATTAAATGTCAAAATTAAGTGAATTGAAACTATAGAGACTAAAACAACACAAGCAAAAAAAAATTATAGGAATAACCAATGTAATTTGCTCGAAGATAAGGATATCTGAAAGATAATGACATCTAACATTATTTTTGAAATATAGTATCTCCTATTTAAATTGATGTAGTGAAAAAAAAATCATAGGAATAACCAATGTGTTCAATGAAACTTATTTGTAATATATAGCCCCTATTTGGTGCACAGCTTATAGCTTCTTCTTCATTTTTTATTTTTTTTATTTCTATAAAGTGTTAGGTGTAATTTCTTATTTTTTTTTATTTTTTTAATTTAGATGACCAATTCCAACATCCACTAAGGAGTGTTTAATTAAAACCTGAGTAAAGCCCCATATACATTAGTCTTAAGAAATTTGTACTTAGAAGGTTTCATACCTAAGATAATGGAGGGAATACACTCGCAAGCCTCAAGCGTCGCTTGCCAAGCCAACCCTTTGGAATTAGGTGCAACTTCTACTTACCACTTATAAAGCAAAATAACTTAAATAAGTTAAAAATGAGGCAGATTTCCTCCAGTCCAAAATATGGACTTCAGGGCGTTGTTGGGCCAGTGAGGCCTACTACGGGTCTCGTTTTGATGATCCGAATATTTTATTTTGTCAATCACTTCGTATATTTTATTCATTCAAAAAATTAAATTGATCCAATAATTGTAACTTGTTCAATTTATTGCGTTTATCACCAAAAAAATCTATGGTTTATTATAAAAACACAATTTCCATCTATTTTTTGGTGACAGACACAGTAAATTGAAAAAGTTACGATTGTTGAATTAACTTTATTTTTTGTATAAATGAAATATACGAAGTGTTTGACAAAATAAATTATTCAAATCATTGAAACGAGACCCATAGTGGACCCATATGCCCAAACAACGCCCTCCAATTAAAAAAAATCAATTATTAAGCAGAGAAAGAATACTTATAACTCTTGAGTATCAGCGTTCAAGTTCCAAAAAATTACACGAAACAAACCAAAATAGTTCTATTTTATTAATCACGATGTTAAATGGGGCTTTTTATTTCCGATTGACCAAGAAAATGTATAATACATTTTTCAAAAGCTTGTTTTCACACCCATCCATCATGTTCCAATTTATAAGTTCATATTTATATAATTACAAGCCATACATCTCATGGCAATGCCATGTTCCTTAAACAGTCTAGGTCATCATCCATAAAATACTTATTGTCGTCAAACAATAATTACAATTTGCTCAATGCAGATCATAACTACCAAAAAAAAAAAAAAATTTATCTTATGGATAATCCCCGTTGGAACGTCGGTTTTCGATTAGAGCATCCAGCCAGGAATGAATCCATTGACATTTTGGGCCGTAGGGGCTGCAACATGTAGCTCATCTGGACCCACAGGGTTGTATCTGAAACCAAAGAAAGTGTTTCAAATACTAGCAAATCATGGAATTAATCAGAGTTAAAAATGTAATAATCTATGGATTTTAGGAGGGTGAAATCCCAGGAAAGTACCCGATTTGCAGCGATGAATTGAGCCTCAGAGGCTGGTAAAATCCCTCGGACCGAGCAGGAATTTGGTTGTTGTATGGAATGCTTTGTTCTCCAGCCTCCCATGATAGTTGAAGAGGTTCCATAGTACTTTCTTCCAGCTGATCACAAGTATAAGTTTAATAATGACTCTGATACATAACTCAGGAAAAAAGGTAAAGCGCACACAGAATTGAACACGGCTCTGTTCTCTTTGTTCGGTGCTCGATTTTGTTCATGAAAAGAGCTTCAAGTAAGGTGCAAATAGCAAAGTGAAGCAAACATGGACTACTGAAATACATGACAATACAAATAATAAGACTAATTGATATCCCCCACAAAAAATATGGGGCTTGCATGCACCCTTGTGTTTGTTATATGATTTTACTGTGATTTATTTCCGTTTCTGTCTTAATACAATTTCAATCATTGAATCATGCGAAAATTTCAAAATACATAAGTCATAATTTAATGAATGGGAGTACATTGCGATAAAATGACAAATGATTGTTGTGTGAGACAGGGGTTGTTTGGAGTGTCCTAAATAAGTACACTTTTTGTCTTTTCAGACTAAAAAGTTGAGGAAAAAAATATGATTATTTGGGTTAACTTTTTGACTTTTTATAGAAAAATGTGTATTAAAAAATTGTATAAATTAGTGTGTAGGGAAAAATTAGGATTGAGAGTTGTGTAGCCGTAATTTTTGACTTTTGGTGAATAGTGATAACTTTTTAACTTTTTGAGTAACTTTTTGATTTTTTGACTTTTTCTCAACTTGCCAAACTTGGCCTGAGTTTAATTATTTAGTCATCATGGTAACTCACATGATATGCCAATATGAATTATATATTTAATAAGATTATAGTTCCATATCTTGAATAAGAAGTTATTAGTTGATTGGTCAATAGATGAAATAGTTTCCAAATGTCCTACTTTAATGGGCAAGTGGAGTTATAGTTATATTAGGAAACTCTCGCTACCTATAAAAGTATTTAGATGTCCATCAATTATTCTGAATATAATGTATTCTAAACAGAATCAAGAGAGTGAAACTTTTTTTCCACTAATATTATTATTAGGTTTATGTTCAATCAATTTTGAATAACTGATTATTTATTTTTTGCATTATGTTATTATTTGTGAAAATCATGATAGTTCACGATTTTAAATTATGAATGTTGTTATATGCATAACACCATAAAATTTTTATATGCGGTATCAGAGGCTGTGTTCATGAATTATCATTTTTTTGTTAAATAAAATTAGTTGAATTTTATTAATTGCAAAATTTTGTTCAAAACCCGATAGTATGTTAAATTGGGTATTGCTTGCATGTGTCTTGCATATATAAATTATTGTTGCAATTTTCATTACTAAAATTGTATTATAAATTCCTTTGTCATGATTGATAATCATTTAAGTAATAGATCGGTAGTTGTGTGAGATGATTAGAATAAAATTTTATATTAATATGCTGAGCGTACACCTTTTCAAAGTCTCAATAGATGCACTCTTATTTTATGTATAAAATTTATTTGTTATATATGCTTATAAATTTTAGGATATGGCATGGTAGCAATGAATTGTTAACTCGTAATTTCACTAATCATGGTGGTGATTATTATTCATGTTTTGTTAAATTATGTTATTAAATTTTAGTATGAAAAAACATATTAAAACTTTATTGTGATCTTTATAGCACCAAGCATATTGCTATTTAAGGATCTAATTGTAACCTCTAAAAACTATCTCCGTATAATGTTATTACCACCATTATGTATAAGTTTGATTTTTATGGGTGGTTGGATGAGTTACAAAAGTATATATTCTTTTTTTTTATCAGCAAAAAAAGAACTTTATTGATGAAGCAGAAGACTCATGCATCAATAAAGGAAAAAGAGGATGAGTGCAAAGAGAATCATAGCGAGCCAAATCAATCCCAACTAGGTTGGCACCAATAGGATCACCCAATCATATGCTAACACATCATCAAGAGTTGGTGAGGAACCAACCACAAACACCCAAAACAACCTCACCTATGTAAAATCTAACCAAGCCTAATACACATCAGACAGCCCAAAAGTAGCAAACAACAACACAACAGGACAACAACAATAATAACAGCTACAACAACCTAAAAAAATCATTCCCCCACAAACAAGTAGCAAACCCAATCAGCAAGAATGGGCTTCAAATCAAAAACATCAGCAACAGCTCAGATCAACCACCACAGAGTATATACTCCTTTTCACCAAGTAGAACCATCATCATTAACAAAACAACATCAATAGCCAACATACCTTGTAGCTTCACCACCAGCTCTACACTTCTGTACTAAACAACAGCCAACCACAGCATCTACACTTCTGTACTGAACAGCAGCCAACTAACCTTGTAGCTTCACCACCAGCTCCCAAGCCCCACATCATAGCCTCTGCTGCCCCAAGATCAGCAGCAGAGCCCAACTATCAACCCCACCCAGCTAACAGAATCAACAACATAGCAACAAAACTCTACCATGATCATAGCTAACAGCATCAACAGCATCACAACACCACAAACAGCAACAGAACAAAGCAGAACAAAGCAGCCTCTCAGCAGCCCATGGTACAATACAAATTAGCAGATCTCATTGAATTTTGTAGCCTTTTAATTTGGTAAGGACTCAAAACCACTATGCCATATGAGCCAAACCACAAAGTAAACAATCTTCATCACTCAAACAGCAGCCTCACAGCACAGATCAGTGCAAAACAACACAAAAAATGGACTTCACCTCTCAAACAACAGCATCACAACACCAACATCAGCACCAGTAAACAAACTTCACCTCAGACACTGTCTAATCTGCTGCAAATTCTCCACCACATCATGAACAGAGTATTGCAACTCACTAGTACTCGCTTTGATCCAGATGGCAACTCTAATCTTAATTAACTCATAGACTTCCTCCAAAAGATGATGTTTTCCACTGAATATGCAGTCATTACACATATTCCAAATAGACCAAAAAATAGCAAATGGAATTGCATTCCAGATTTTATTTTCCAACTTACCCCATTTGATCCCTCTCCACCAATCCATCGCACCTCTGGCATTAGCAGGTACCACCCATTGTATACCCCACCAATTTAGGATATTTGTCCAGACCCTCCAAGCGGACTGGCACTGTAATAAAACATGACAATCAGTTTTAACACCACATCCGCAAAAAACACACTTTGTGTTAGCATCCTGATTGAGACAAGCCACCTTTTGAAGAAAATCTCTTGTTTTAATCCTACCTTTCCAAACAAGCCAGCCAAAAAATTTCACTTTTGGTGGGTAAATATTATTCCAGATCCACTTTGTAAACCCCAATCCTTGACCCATATCATTCCTACTATAAGCTGAGTTAACAGTGAATACACCTACGGATGAAGCACTCCAAACCAGAGAATCCATTCTATCTAATAAGATGGGCACAAGAGAAGAAAGATATGATCTGAATCTTCCCACTTCATCTTTCTCTGAAGCCCTCAGACATCTCCTGAAATTAAAGGACCACCCAGTTGCTAAACTTCTCCTGTCTAATATTTGTTTAATGGTGAGCTCTTTATCTGCTGATAGGTCATAAATTCTGGGAAATTCATCCTCTAAGCACCTATTAAATGCCCATGGATCCTCCCAAAAACTAACCCGCAACCCATTTCCCACTTTAATTACAGAATTATTCATAAAAAAACTCCACAGATTGGGGCTGCTATGTTCCAGATTAAATATATCTCCCCAAATTTTTGAGCACTGGACACCATTAGCCAAGAATGGTCTCCATCTCCCACCAAAGCTGCCATACTTACTAATCACAATATCTTTCCATAATGCCGTATCTTCACTACCATATCTCCACCACCATTTAGCTAGAAGACACTCATTAAAATCCTTCAACCTTTTAATACCCAGCCCTCTCAAACTTTTCTTCATTGTAACCTCCTCCCACTTTACCATATGAAGCTTCTTTTTAACTTCCAAACCCCCTCACAAGAATCTGGCTTGAATTTATCAATCTGTTTAGCCACACTAGCAGGTACTTTAAATCGGGAAATGTAGTAAACTGGTAATGAGGATAGCACAGATTTGATTAGAATTAACCTACCCCCATAAGAAAGTAACTTTCTCTTCCAAGAAGCAAGCTAAGATTTAAACTTATTGATCACATGCAACCATATGCTCCTCTTCTTTGGGCTGGCACCAAGTGGCAGACCAAGATATATGAATGGCAGTTTTTTACTCTGACAATTTAATTTCTTAGCAAAATCAGCCAAAACCTCCTCCTGTACTCAATTCAGACAACACTTCAAAGCATCTTAGAATTCTTTTCACATTCAGAATTTCCTGCTCCTCAGCCTTACAAAACACTACTGTATCATCTGTAAACTGCAAGTGCGTGACATTAGTTTCCTTATGACCTATAACAGCTCCTTTAATCAACCCCAATGCTTTAGCCCTTTGAAATAACATATTCAACCCTTCAGCCACGATATTAAAGAGAAAGTGTGACATTGGATCCCCTTGTCTGAGTTCTTTTTCAGGACTAGATTCAGCAGTGGGCGAGCTATTAACAAGAATTGAAACTCTAGAAGATTGTAAGCATTCCTTAGTCCACCTGATCCATTTATTCTGAAATCCAAAGTTTGACATCATGGCAAAAAGGCACTCCCAGTTTACAGTGTCATAGGCTTTTTCAAAATCTAATTTTAGAATCACCCCCTTCTGTTTTTTCTTCTTCCATCAATCCACAACTTCATTTGCTATTAACACCCCATCCAATATGTTCTTTCCACCGATGAAAGCCGATTAAGACTCTCCAACAATCTTGGGCAACACCTTTTTTAGCCTAGAAGCTAGGACCTTAGAAAGAATCTTGTATAAAGAACCAATAAGGCTAATTGGTCTATAATCAGAAATGCCATCCGGGCACACTTTCTTAGGAATCAGAGTTATAAAAGAGTTGTTGATGCCTTTAGCCAAACACCCATTATCATAGAATTCCTCAAAGAACTTCAAGATATCATTTTTAAACACCCTCCAGCATTTTTGAAAGCAAGACAAGTTAAAACCATCCGGACCCAGCGCTTTGTTA